AAAAAAAAAAAAAAAGGGGGGGGGAGAGAGAGAGAGAAAAGTACCACATGTGATTGTTGTTCACAACTGTACAAATCACAGGAGGTCACCCCCAGGAGTTACCATCTCATTCACAGTAGTAAAAACTCTACCCATTGTTCTTAGCCTGAATTCCCCCAGCATCCCTCCCCCTCTTCTGGGAACGCACAGGTATCTGTCTCATGGTCCACAGCAGGCCAGAATGTGCAACTACATCCACCTCTGTAACAAGGCTTTAAAAAGAATAAAAACAACCCTACGAACAAAAAAACCCACCCCAAATGTATAAATGAGTCTGTTGTACACGTGAAGGAGGGAGGGGGGCCACACTGGAGTGAGGCCTGTGACCTTTCATCCCACCAAAGCACACACTTTTTTTTTTCTTCTTCTCTTTAAAACAAAACATCTAATGGAAAAACAAACCCAAACCTCTGCAGGGCTGGAGCACAGGCAGAGTCGGTTCTCTGTGTGTGCCAAAAGGGACAAACGTGCCAGGGAGGAGGGCAGGCCCTAGCCTGTGGGACAGCACTGAGCCGCCTGTGCCGTACCATCCACACTGAAGACTACATGGACCGGAACTTGCCTTTTTTTCTTTTCTTTTTTTTTTTTTTTGCCTTTTTTTCCTTTTTGTCTGTCTTTGGTATTGTTTTAAAAGTTGCTAGAGATGCATAGACACCTGAATGAGGAACTGAGTAGAGTTTCCAGGGAGGAGGAGATATTTGGGAAGGTGGTTGCTTTCATTTTTGATGGGTTTTTTTGCTCACGGGTGCTGAGTACCATTGAGAGGAGCAGTGCTGGTTCCCCTTCCCTGCTTGGAGTCACACCCAGAAGTTCCTAAAGCCATGTTTCTTGGAAGGCAAAGCAAAGCGTTCGTTCCCTGGCCATGGCTCTCTATCTCAGACTGGTGAGCGAGAAGGGGTGTGAAAGGGAATGGGAATGCTGCTGCCATCCTCTAGAATCAATTTTCTTTCTCTTCACTTGCGTTGTCTCAGTACATCTTTGGATAGGGTTTGTGGTTTTGTTTTTTTTCCTTCCCTTTTTACAGTTTTTGAAACTTCTGTGTGGATTTTTTTTTTTTTTCCTAAAACAAAAAGCAAACGCGTCCAAAAAAATTAAAAACCTCCCTTCCTCACTCCTGTGTCTCACACTGCTGAGGGAGGCTCTCCTGGTCTCTCAAAATGCATTACCTTCAGTTTGTTCAACTGAACCTCAGTTCCAGAAGCAGTCAAGAGCTGTCCTGCAGTTAAGATGGAGGTTTCGTGGTGTCATTGATCCCAGCAATGATGGAGGGGTTTCCATTTTCCTGCTTTGGTGAGACGCGGCTGGCGGAGGGCAGGCCACTGCTGAAGGGGGAGGCCACGCTGCCCGTGGAGGATGGCCGGAGATCGGCTGCGGGCCGGCGGAGACCGCCTGCGGGCAGGTCCCGCTCTGGTGGCCGTAAACCGGGAGGTTGCAGTGGGAAAGCCATGGGGAAGCCTGCCATGTACAGAACTCTGCCCACTCTCTTGGCGACCTATTAAAAAAAGTAAGAGGAGGAAATAAATGCAAAAAGGGATGACAGTGTGCACAAACTGTCTTCAGAAACCCACAGAAGCTGCATTTTCATGCAGCAAGCCCAGGTTCTGTACTCCAGAGTGAAATGCAGCTAGAAGAGCTAGGTTGTTACATCATTTGAATGAAGAGCTACAATTCCCAATCTACCACAAAAAAAAAAAACCAAACCAAAACAAAATCAAAAAAACCAACACACCCAACCCTTGGTGACTTACCAGAGAAGACCAGGGAAAGTTTCAGCTGCATTTTCATGCAGCAAGCCCAGGTTCTGTACTCCAGAGTGAAATGCAGCTAGAAGAGCTAGGTTGTTACATCATTTGAATGAAGAGCTACAATTCCCAATCTACCACAAAAAAAAAAAACCAAACCAAAACAAAATCAAAAAAACCAACACACCCAACCCTTGGTGACTTACCAGAGAAGACCAGGGAAAGTTTCCTCCTCTTTTTTTTTTTTCTTCTAAAGGACTCTGTGCTGCAGTAGTGCTCCCTAGCTCTGTTTTACCGGGCACTTTGTTGTATGGAACCGTTAAGTAGAGCTGGAGCTGCAAGGTCTACCCTAGATCACGTCTCAGGCTCAAGATGTGCTGGGACTTGCAGGGCAGGCCCTTCTCCTGTGCCGCGGTTTGCGTGCGCCTGTGTTCTTTGGCCAGAATGAGACCGAAGGCCTTGGCTGAGGTGTGGGCTAAAAGGCAGCGTGCAACCCAAAGCTGAACCAAGTCCAGCCTTTGGTCTGAAATAATCGGGTCTCGCATCGGGGGACTCTGGAAACTTGCAGTCTGTTTACCTGACTCGGTAAGACTGCATGGACAACTGTGAGAGTGCTCTTCATCTTTCATGGGCCCCCCCCAGCTCATCCCCTTCATAAGTAAGTGAGACACAGTGGGGGTACGCAGCAGTTCCTAGGTCATCTCTGCTACACGAGGCGTTGGGAAGACGCCTGTCTGCAGCGGCCTGCAGGTGACGGTGCATCGGGTGAAGAGGGCTGACTGATTCCTGCCACTTCGGTTATTTCGTTAACAGGCACCACTGGATGGAGAATTTGCTAGAACTCTTCTGCTCTCCCTTTGCTAACCCAGCCCAGGGTACTGTACGGCAGGACAGTACACCATGTCCACTTCGGAAGATCAGGAATTGCCCTTAAGGGGAGGCGAGGGAGGAAAAAAAGAAATAATATCTGGCTACGGGGTGGCTGCCGTCAACTGCAGAGGAAACTATAAGCCTGCAGCCTCTCCCTTCTTCTGCAGTACCGAAGGAAACTCCTGAAGCAGTTCTTGCCTCCCAGCAAGGGCCAAAGGCCCCACAACTTTCCAGCACCTACACAGCTGTTTCACATTTAAGCTTAAACAAAAACACAGGCTTGTGTTCAAACCAGACAACTGCGGCATTATTCCGTTAGCAACATCAGGACTTTGCTCCCCACTTACCCCCCCTGCCCCCCAACCATGCCTTATTATAGAACTTTAAACACTATTGATTAAATCGAAGCAGGGTTTTTCTAGTTTCAGCCCATATCTCATATTTCCCCCCCTCACCAAATCCGATCTAAGAATGTCTGTGAGCTATTTGGCGTTCTCTGTTTTTTAAGAAACATAAAGAGTTTTATTTCCTACTGAATTGACCCACAGGGAACAATTGCCCACAGAACCTTTTTATTAGACCCCTCATAAACAGTGAGGGTTTTTTTTAGTAAAGTTGCTCTCATTGTTTTAACATAATGTAACAAATGTATAGCTTGTGGGTTAGGGAAACTATGCCAGAAGAGTGACTAGCTGTGCAACCCATGTACGTGCACACGCACATTACTGTCATAACTATTTGCATGACATAATCCCCTAGGGAATACAATAGAACAGCCTGTTCCTGACATGTGTCAGAAGCTATTTTCTGATCGTTACATTGGGGGGGGGAAGAAGCTAGCGGAGATGTTCTTCTAGATTTGAGTCCAACCAAGGGGAAGTGGAGGCAACTGAAATGGAAGTCACCATGACTTCCAGCTAGGAAAGGCAGGAGAAAGCAAAGCAATTTTAAGGAAGCAGACCTCTACCGGCAGAGACTTGGGAGAAAGAAAAAGGTATTTTGCAAAGAAGAAACACCGCTATAAGGGCACAACACCAAACTACTCTGTTGAGGAGGAAAGACAGTTCCCTAAAAGAGAGAACTTGAGTAACTCGACACAGGCAAATACGATTTCTACTTCCAGTATATCAAAATACAAGTGAACACTAAGCAGGGGGCTGCAGTGTGGGAGGGGGTGGCACGGCCCATCAGCAACACCAGTAAGCTAGGACTAGCAAAATAAAAATGTTACGGAAGTCTGTTCCTGGCACAGCAGAGAAGGGAAAGACCTGGTCCATTACTCGCTGGGGAGGAAAAGTAATCAACAGATGATGCTGGGATGCGTTAAATGCACTTGTGCTTCAAGAACCTCCAAGAGCCATCTCGTTACAAGGAAAATGAGCGGCAAAAGGACTTCCATCCAGTCAAGGAAAAAAAAGCTGGTTCCTGAGATGGCTTTACCCAGTTCTTTAGGTACTTCGGGATGACTATTTCAGGTTCAACTGATTTGAAACCATCCACCCTGCCTCACCTGTTTACAGCTTTTCTGCTTGCCTGGCCAGTATTTGTGGGAACAGCCTAATGTGTCTTTCCTTTAAGAGTTCACTTCTGTGTCCATTTTAAGAGTTTCCCTCTGCATCCCCGTTCCTCCCTCCCACCACTTGTCCTGAACCATTTGGTTCTGCCCCTGGACACTGAATACTGTCCCTGTTTTCTTCCTGAAACAGTTATGTGCCTGGCTCCAGACGAGGTATGGAACATTTTGGAGGGCAAATCAAGCCTTCTTGAAAGGCCTAGTCCAGCTAGGGGCAACTTTAAAGAGCGCCACTTGCTCCTACATAGGAAATTTTCCTACCTGTGACCTTATCTTCAGTGCAGGTCCGAGTTTCAGCCCCATATTGTTCAGTAAGTGCTCTTCCGTCAGTAGGGGCAGGGTCTCGCCATCAATCGCTTGCTCTCGGAATACCTGGAAGAAACCAGAACACAGGTCCAGGCTTAGACATGCCAGTGACACATCTATTCTTGCACAGCAGGGCACCGCAGGAAAGGTAGGCTCTGAGAGCCTCAGTGGTGAAGAAGGCCCATGTTAATACACGAGAGGTAGCTACAACCCTGTATGTACAGCCAGGAGCCAACAAGTAAAAGGAGACACATGTGGGAATGTGAATTAGGGCTGGTTGGGCCAGCTTCCAGTTTAGATAAAGCAATACATTTTATTCTTCTTTTTATGTTGGGATGGGGCCTGAACTTTTTTCTCTGGGGAACGTCCCCAGGTTTAGCAACCAAAACAGCTGACCTAAAAGCAATATTATGAGTAAGCCCGGCTGATAGCGTACAATAGCAGATTTAAGAAGAGTGACATGCCCAAGGGCCCTATCCCAACTCCAAAAAGGGCAGAAGACATAGGAGAAAAGACAAGAATCTAAATTTTGGCAAATCCTAGGTCACTCACACTTGTGTGGATATTTGAAAAAAGTTGACCCAGTAGACTTCAAAAGTATTTGCAGTCTTCAGTGAGGCATAAGCAATTGAAAAAGGAGGAACTTGCTTGTTCATGCATTTCCTTCTCAAAGCTGCTAATTTCCAAAACAGTCTCCAGGCAAAATACATAAACAGATCTGTGGAGCACATTCTGCAGGTTAGATGGAGTCATGTGCGACACTCCGTTTTGCACTTTTTTTTCTTGGTGTCCTCCTTTGCCTGTCGCATAGTACAACCATTCCTAGGACAGGCGGGCAGCCTGGAGAACGCAGTCGGTCATGCTGCGTGGCAGTGACTCCCACTACCCAGAACACCAGCCGGGACCGGGGAGGATGAGCCCTCCTCACCCGTCTGTTTTAACACGAGGCTTTTTCTTTTTCCCCCCTAGCAACACTTCCAGCAACACCGACTAATAAATATTGCGGTGCCACTGTACTGACTGAGGCAGCCAACTGCACCGGCCTTTCCGACGGTTTCCATTAACGAGACAGCCAAGTCTCTTACCCCTCTCCCGGGCAGCTGAGTGAAGCAGAACCTGGTGATGTGCATACGCAGAATCACAGAAATGACGGCAGGGCTGGCATCGTCTTATAACATGGCACTTTTATATGAACACATTCTGATACACCCAGCCGTGCAAAACTGTACCGTCTTAACACAATCTTAAGGACAGAAAAAAAAAATGCTTTGTTTTTGCCTCTATTTCAAATGACAGGATCACGCAAGAGTTTTCCACCTAGTATGTACTGTGTTATAAGGGTTAAGGTCTGGATACGTGGTCTTACTACTCCATTCTTCATATATAGAGTAGGGCTACACTTACAGCAGCCTCCCTGGGGTTTACTCTGGACGTACAGGCTCAATACTTCCAGAGTAAACGGCCATCATTTGGTAATTTAGCCAGCAGGTTCCCCGTGGTTCAGGGAGCTGTCAGTCAGACGCCTGGGTTTTCTTGCTAAACCACACCTCCACTCCGTAGCATTTTTTTCACGCCCCAGCTCCTACTGGATGCTCGCCCAAATGAGCTGTGGGGCCTGATCCTGCTCTCTCTCCATGCAATGGCTCATGCATAGCGTTATTATTACTAAACGCTACGGCAGGGAAGAGGGGATTCAATTTACTCCAAAGGCTTCTTTTCCAGCAGCAGACCATAGCCCAGAGCCATCCCTTTGGAGAACGAGTTGGAGCCAAGGCAGCTGAGCTGTTGCAAGTGGTTTTTATTGCTGGACTCCCCCAGCAAAGCTGCTCATGACTGCAGCACGTGTTTCTGCTCTTTGACCTAGCAAAACTTACTATACCGATTTCTTTTCCTTCCTCTGAAGCCAACGTGGCTGGGAGCCAAAAGCCTCCCTTTGCTCGGCACTAAAACCCTCCACAAAAAGCCTTGAGAAAAGCATCCCCCTTGGGTGTCCCACAGGTGTTGATCCGCTGCGGGGACAAAGCTGAATATTGTCAAGGGCTGAAATCAGGCACGGCAACTTTTGGTTTTGCTGAAGTTTTCTTGTTTGTCTGAAACATGTTTCTAAATGCACAGCGTACCACCAAACTCTTGCTGGGTTTTGCTGGCAGGAGAAGCCCGCGGACCAGCGCCAGACCTCCCCGGCAGCCGTGGTTTTGGAGAAGAGAACACAGACAGCTCTGCAGTTTAGAGCCACGGAGCTGGGTCGCCCTTGAACGCTGGCATTTTCACATAGTAAAAAACCTGTTAAGCATATAACCATAGTACATAAAAATGCATCATCCCTTAAGCCATGCACCCCCCTACATAATGCAACATAGCAAGGCCACGACAGGAGGCTGTTTACAGCAGCTCCCATTATCGTAAAACATTTTCTTTGCAATGCACTGAGAAGATTGCTGAACCTTTGTCTCAGCAAGCTATCGATTTCTTCCCCACTGGTGTACCAGGAGCTGGCATGGAAAGTGTAAACGGATGAGCCTTCTGCAAGGTGGCTGCGTAAAAGATTTCTCCACATTTCCTACTGGCCTAATTCAGAAGCTTCCAGGCAACCGATCTTCATTCCCCAACGCAGGAACGCAGACAAACTGCAATGCCACCGGTGCAAGAGCTCGCTGTTTGGGGTGGGGGGGTAACGGAGAATGCGAGTAGCTGTAGATTTTGGGTTTAGAGCCTTTTGCTTGAGCTCTCCTCAACACATACTGCAGCCCACACATGCACACTCCTGAACCCATCACCCAGCCCCTTATCATCCTCACTAAACCCAGCTCCTGAACTCCCCTCTACACGCGCAGACCTGCTGCTTCTCGCTCCCGTAAACACCCATCCAGCCTCCATCTTTTTTTAAGCAGTGTCCTTCCCCTCCCTCTCTCCGCTATCAGAAACTGGTCCTTCTCTGTTCCACACACCCAGTCACCCTGACCCCCTCCCAAGCACAACCCACATCTCTCTCATTCCTCTTGGGCAATGCACCCCATCTCCGTGACAGATGTACCCCATCTCCACGACAAGCATGCCTCTCACATGCATAGCTCTTTGCTCCAAAGCAGCACTGGTTTTATAAGTAGTTTTAACAAAACATGATGTGATGGGATTAGCATCACGGTTAGGGGACAAGGAAGGACAGACTTTAGATTGAAAACACATTATCCCATCACCTGAGCAAGAACAGTGTGGGGCAATTCCAGGTTTTTGCTTCCCCATCCCCTCTGGAGGGATGAAAAGCACGCGCCGTTCCCCATGGCACACGACCAAATCAGCGTCACCTAAAGGGAACCGCTTCCCTAGAGCCAGATACGGAGACTGCTCTCCTAACAGGTGGTCCCAGCAGCAGGAGGGGTGCTGAGCTTCACCCTCCTCAAAACGCCTGGGGGTGGGCGTAAGTTCTAATGCAGTAACAGAGGGGGGACGGCAAGGGCCAAAGAGGGAGAGGCAGCAGATTTTTGGAAATCAGATTGCAGCCAGCCTGGATGTCAAAGCCCAGCGTTGCATCCCTCAGCTGTCAGCCAGGGAAGCTTCTCTCTTGAAGTGGCATGTCCGGAAAGCTCGACTCCTGCTCTCCTTTTCAAGACCTGTTCTCAGCCTAGGCTGTGTCTCTGCTGAAAGGCTGGCTTGTCCTCGGCTTTGGCCCTTTGCCTTTCTATCTCAGCTACGTTCAGTCCCTCCCATCCAAGCACACTCGATCTTCTTTACAAGGCTCTCCCAGACAGCTCAGGAATCTCTGCCTTCGCAGTCGGTGTGTTCTCTCAATGGGGCGTTTATAATGGACTCGAGCAGATGCCGAAGCAAAACACACAGGGTTGGTTTTTCTATGGCACCTCATGATCTCACACTGAGCAGGCTTTATGAAGCCCCCGTTACCGAGGGATGTTTCAACTCTGCTATAATGAGCTTAAAAATCACAGCCACCATCACCCTACAGTGTAAGGACGGAGGTTACTTGGACACTTGGGCAGGCAGGGTCCCTCGCAACCCCACTCTGCCTCCTCAGTGCTCTGGGTGCAGCAAGGGAACGCAGCACCTTCTGTCAGGCTGGCTGGTACCGCGAGCTGCCCACCCCGATGCAGGGACCACCAGGCAGCCCATCCCTCAGCACAGCTGCTCCACACAAAGCCACCGCTGTGTTCAGCTCTGCGACAGAGCATGGGGCAGCTTCTAAAAGCATGAGCCGGACAGTGAGAGACAAGTAACACCGAGCCGCTACACCATGATCAACCAGGCAACTCGGATGCTCACTCCTAACCTTGCTCCTACTCCTGTACTCTCTCCTTATTGCCACCCATCACACACCACCTTGGGGTCTTCGGGCAGCAAGCAGCTATTCAGCACTAGAAAAAACTACAAATCCACTAGAAACAAACAAACACACACACACTTTAGGCCCTGCAGGGGCTCTCAGATATTATCTTCTCTTAGGAGGGACAGTGCAAGTAAAATAGGCACGGATGGGAGGGAGGGAGAGAACAGGGGCTTGCAGGGAGGACGTTCCCCCCGTGATGTTGCTGCGGCTGTTAAGAGATTTACCTGAGTGTACTCGGTGCAGCCGGACAAGTTGGACACAAAGCTGCATACATCCTCCACCGTCCATTTGCTGATGTCTTCCAGCGCAGGGCTTTCCTCACCATCCAGAAAGAGACCTCCCATGGTGCCTGGATTGTTTCGAGTTGGGGGGGGGTAGGAAGGAGGTGGCGGGGGAGAAAGAGACATAAATCATTAAAATCCCACATGGACAACAACTAGCCTGCAATCTGAATATTCTTCTCTAGCCACACATTCATCTTTAATGACCTGTCAATTAAAGCACTGGGCAGGGTCAATTCATAGGCCTCTTCCTCCTGGAGGTCCCCAGCTTAGAAAGGGGGGCAGGGGAAAGGAAAAAATCCTAACTAATGCATTTCATGTGTTTAATGTTCTTCAGCTGCAGGGAAGAAATAGGGGGAGGGGAGAGAAAAGAAAAAACCCTGAAGGAGTGTTTCTCCACACGCACCGCAAAGCGGAAAACTCTGACTGCCCTGTGGGTTTCTTTCCCCCAACCCTTCTCCTGGCTACGTGCTCCGAATGCTAACAGGGCCCCGGCACCTCTCCCTGGTGGCCCGCTGCCTTGCCGGAGTGTGAATCGCTTGAGAACATCTTGCTCTTTCAAAGTGTTCATTTCCAATCCACCCCAGCCTGAAATATCCATCGGATCCGGTCTGCCCCAATGAAGCCGCTGCCTGGGAATACGCTGCCCTCCGCTCCGCCGCAGGAGCGGGCATCTCTCCTGGCCAAGCATCTGACGGGTGACGGGATGACCCCTGCCAGCCCCCGC